GGATGGAAGGAAGTCAAAATGTATGCATATGTGTTTGGTCATGTTTTGTTATAGTTGTTTTTCTTTTATGTTTTTTCTTTTATTCCTTTTTTCTCTTTGTATTGGTTTTGTGATTGTTTCATTTTATTGTATTTTATGTTGTAATTCTGCATTGAGATACTGAGGTACCACTTTAGCTAATGGGTATTGAGGTACCACTTTAGCTAATGGGGCCTCCCGCTGCCATTGCCGCCGCCGTGCAATTTCTGTTCTCATCCTGAAGCAAAGTTCCTAACCCGAGGTACTATTTCTGGGTTAGCGGAGTCTGTAACCTGAAGCGTCTGTAACCTGAAGCATCTGTAACCCGAGATATTGTGTTGCAAAATCACTTCAGGATTCTTCATAGGAATCAATTCACAAAATAGCAACATCATAATAAAACTCATCTCAGTGGGCAGCAGATAAAAGATAAGTCCTATCAGCAGACTAGCAAAGGTTCCCAGCGTACCCAACTATGCCATATTTAGAGTTGACCTGTTGACGTTAAAGGATCCGAGATACCAGTAGCTGTGTCTATTAAGCTCAGTGAGTCTCCTAAGAGAAGGACTGACCTTGTATTCAACCGGGACTTTTTATACTGCCTGACTCTCTGCAGATGCTTTTGAAAAACAACAGAAGGTGGTGACCGTGACCATGACTGATGATCTGACAGCAGTTTTGAGCTTCCGCAGCTTCACTGGATGGATGAAGTTTTGCGACTACAGCAGCAAGAATGTTACTTGCCCAAAAATGGAAAGAAGGAGAAGTCCCAGCGAAATAAGAATGGGTACAAAAACTTATGGGATACGCAGAAATGGCGAAACTTACTGGAAAAATAAGAAATCAAGATCACAAACTTTTTATAAAAGAATGGAAATGGTTTATGGAATATCTACAAGCAAACTGTAAACAGATAAGAACATTGGCAGGATAATTGTAATAACCTGCAGTTTCACAAGAGGATATATTTAAAGTAGATGAATAAATGAACAAATTTGGACATGCAGAAAATATTAAAAAATAAATTTAAGGAACTGCAGAAAGAGGGGGAAGGAAGTTGAGCTTTGAAATGTTAGAATGACTGTAAAATTATTGAAATGTACAAACCTGAAAATCACAGAGATAGATAGATGATAGATGATAGATAGATAGATAGATAGATAGATAGATAGATGATAGATAGATAGATTTTCAGATCATCAGTATACACACACACGCACACCACACACACACACACACACACACACACACACATATATATATATATATGCTGATGATCTGACAGCAGTTTTGAGTTTCTGCAGCTTCTCTGGACGGGCGAATTTTTGTTACAAGAACACACTGTTGGTTGCTTTCTGCCTGGTGCCCGAGACAGAGAAATCTAATAAATGTAGATGAAATTAATTCTGCACATGGCCTTGTTAGAAGGTAGCACCAGGCGGTGAAGAAAAACAATAATCAAAACAGCTCCCAAAGTGTCCCTGAGGGGAGCCTTTTACAGAGCTCGATATCCTTCTCTTGACAAATAAGGAACAACAAGGAAGGGACCTTGGGAATTCTCCAGCCTCTAGATAACGAGGGCCATGATGAAACTCTCAGCGAGCCTTGCAGGAGGTTGCAGCGAAGGCGCGGCATCATCTTCTTCACCTCCTTGTGCTGCTCATTGGCACTGAGTTCTTCCTTTAGCAACAAATGCAGCTCATTTTCTCTCCCGACACGTGGAGCATCGTGTTTTTCTGGAGCCCAGTAACCAAAGTTCTTGAGGCAGGTTACCAGTATGAGTACCATGCAGTAAAATAATTAAGAGGTAGTAGACCTAGGGTTAAATACATCCTCTGCCCTCTGCCCCTCCCCTAGTTCTTCCAAGAAATATATTGAGCATTCACCTTGAATTGCTTGGAACAAAGTGACATGGAGATTAGATGGATTATATCTGGTCTTTACTGAGCATTTGTTCTTATTATTTTTTGCAGCGGCAATTATTATTTCTACAACAAGAAGTCCTCAACCTGCATTCACCCTGATTTGCTGGTGGGATGAAGAGATGGATCTGCCAACTTCAGTTTCTCGTTTTTTCCCATTTTAAATTTGTTTCTCTACCATTCTACAGTGTGTGTGTGTGTGTGTGTGTGTGTGTGTGTGTGTTTAAAACCTTCCTGAAAATTCGCCAGCATTTTAGTGTGCATTTCTCTTAATAAACACATTTTTACATGCAGTTTTGACTCATGCACACAGTATTGTAAGCAATTGCTTCTACTGTAATGCATATCTTGAATGCTTGAGTTGAGGTTCCTGCATTGCAAGGGGTCCCTTCCAAACTCTACAGCTGTATGATTTTATGATTCTGTGAATACCAGTTGTTGGGAATTGCAGGTGGGCAGAGTGCTATAATGCTCAGGTCCTTGCTTGCATGTTTCCCAAAGGCCACTGTGAGAACAGGAAGCTGGTCTAGGGGCGCCATTGGTCTGATCCTGCAGGCCTCTTCTTATATTATTATATTAAGAAATCACTGGAGTCCAGCAATGAGGAGGAGAGGCAATCTGCTTTGTGGGTGGAGGAGGGCAGTCACTCTCCCTCCTGGAATGTTGGGGAATTCCAGTGGAAACAGGAACAGGAATTTCCAGTGTTTGCTGATTTGTGCTATCTCTGGAATCCAGTAAATATGATCAGTGTGCACTACAGTGGTTATTGGCTTGCAAGGAATACTTGATCCATGACTTTCCCCCATTTTCTTTTTTCTTTTTTAATTTTTCTTTACATAACTAAGAATAAAAATGTGCGCCCCAACACCGATACCATTCCATTGTAACTACCCAGCCTCCCAAAATTTCAACACCTCTTGCGATGGTTTGACCCCCTTTCCCTTTTGACAGTACAAATTCTACAAACACCCTCCATATCTCCTCAGAATCATTTCTGCTGCATATTTCCCCGTCTTACCTTAATGGCACATGTTAATTTATCATTAATAGCTATATCCCACACCTCTTTGTACCTTTCTTCCTTTTTATATTCTGCTTGCCCCTTCCACTTCCTAGCTATAATAATGCGTGCAAATCAGTCTCTTAAGCTTAAGTCAATAAATAGTATTCTTTATCAATATACGTATCAAGGCTTTGAGATTAGACCACTGAAGAAGCCCGGAAAACTACCTTGGGAGTGTGCTGCCTGCAAGCCCCAGTAAAAGGGCCCCATCGGGGGCAAACAGCAGCCTTACTTGGACTGCCAGGGCGAAACAGATGCAAAACACCAGCAACTTCACTAACATCCATCTACAGCTTCACTAGCATCTCTTAGTATTGTGAACAACACCGAACTTACCCTTTGTTGGTGACTTCATGAACTTACCTGAAAAGGTAAAGAAAACAAAATACTGAGTTAAGCATTTGAAAAATCCATTGAAACCAGACGTTATAAGCTCATCTTTGGTTGGGTAGTTCAGAAGCCTCTGTGGCTTTGCACAAGGTTTTGTATTTTTCTCAGAAGATTGATAATGAATGTATAATTATTTTGGTAATTATTGTGTGTATATTAGTTGCCAACGTGTTGCATGAGTCGTACTACTTCTAACAGCGGCACAGGTAGCATTTTTCTAGTGTTAATAAATTTGTGAGCAAGTCATTCATAGCCTGTGAACCTTCCACCCCATCGTAAATTGATAATAATGCCACTTTCAGTTAGCTTTAACCCAGGGACTTCTGTTATCTCCTTAAACACCCTTTGCCAGAAAAATTGTACATTTTTACAATTTCCCCATTGTCATTGTGTTTCTTTACCATCGAAAAGAACGGCACTTGCAATGACCCTTACTAAACGCTTGGGTTTCATAAATGTTAGGATTTAATTAGAGTCGAATCTGAAAAGTAGGCACACCCAAGTGTGTACTAGGGGTAGTAGGGGTAGAAGTGTTCTTGACCCACTGATAAGAATCAGTAATTAGCATGCATAAACACAAATTAAATTAGGCAGATTTCTGAAGTTGTGTACAGTGGTACCTCGGGTTACAACCACCTTGGGTTACAACCACCTCGGGTTACAAACACTTCGGGTTACAGACTCCGCTAACCCGGAAGTACTACCTCGGGTTAAGAACTTTACCTCAGGATGAGAACAGAAATTGCACGCCAGCAGCAGTGGGAGGCCCCATTAGCTAAAGTGATACCTCAGGTTAAGAATGGTTTCAGCTTAAGAACGGACCTCCGGAACGAATTAAGTTCGTAACCAGAGGTACCACTGTATTAGGACAGTAATCCTAGCCAATCAACAAGTTTTAACTCAGTTCTGGGGCTGTCATGATCTCTTGCACGCCTCCAAGATGGCGCAACAGGACCAGGGGAGAAGGAGAAGCCCATGCGGGAAATGCACATCCACCAACTTTGCCTGAACGTCTGTGTTGGGGAAAGTGGAGACAGGCTCAGCCAAAGTGCTGGAGCAGCTCAGGGGCCAGACTCCTGTTTTCTCAAAAGCTGGATACACAGCCAGGTCCTTTGGGATCAGGAGAAATGAGAAGATAGCCATTCACTGCACTATATGCTGCGGGCGGGCAGATTTGAGGGTAAACCATACACAGCACGGGTCTGCCCTTGTGGCTCGTTGGAAGTTGAAACTGCTTCACATGTACTGTTACGTTGTCGTCTTTATGAGGATATACGTTTGACTTTTATTACACCTGTTTTGCAAAAGTCCAGGAAAGATCGGAACACCATAGTTTAAAATTACTGCTAGAGGACAAGAATCCCAAGACTACATTAAATGTAGCCAAATTCTGTGCGTCTGCAATTAATCGCAGGAAGCAAGTGGTATCCCATAATGACCAAACCCCCAAATGTTAATTACAGGGGGCACGCTAATAATTAACATTAATTTTTTATATTTAAATTCTTGTTATATTCATATTGTCCTCTGTATTTCTGATATTTTTTTTTTATGATCTGTGATATTGTGTGTGCTGACGCTGGTCTGTGACCGTATTAATAAATTCATTCATTCATATATGCTGGGGGCCAAAGCTGAGGAGATCTTAGAGAAGGGCTGAAGGTGCGAGAATACGAGCTGAGGAGGAATAACTCTTCTGACACCGGCGACTTTGGCTTCAGAATCCAGGAGCACGTTGATCTAGGGATGAAATACGATCCAAGTGTTGGTTCTGGGCAGGCCAGGCTTCAGCCTTGCTGACAAGAAGCACCAAATTGGTGGCATTGGGGTCCAGCACTGAATCAGCAAGGAGGAAGCCATGCGTTGGTTCCAGAAGAAGTATGATGGCATCATCCTTCCTGGTAAATGAAAAGTTTCCAGTATAAAAAAGCAAATAATTTTTCCCAATATAAAAAAGTGTTAACTCGAAAGACTAATTTCCTCCTGAAGGAACCGCCTGTGGGGATAGACCATTTAACGTTCAAAGCATTGAAAGGGCTAAGTGTGAATAGGTATGAAAAGCTAATCTCCTGTGAGGTAATGAGCTTTAGCACATCAAAGGAGGGAACTTCCCCTGGGTTATGAGACAAGGATTTTGGCTAGGGGGAGAAGCTGTGGGGTTAGGGTTGGAGTGATGTAACCAGAAAGTTGTATTGTGCTCTGCAGAGAAAAAATGGTGCTGGGCTTATTGTTGCTGCTGCTATAAGCTGGTGTGCTTTTGGGTACTGCTGCTGTATGATGCTCCATAAGCAGGCTCAGCTTGTATACATGTGTAAATAAACCAAATATCATGAAGACACCACAGTTGCCATTGTGCCTAATCTTCCAAAGGAAACACAAATCCTGGGTGAGTGCCTGGAACCCTCAAAGTCTTACGCACTGATTGGGGTGGCGTTTAACAATGCGTTGTGAAATAATGTAATAACGGTGCAATTAATGGTGCAAAATTCTGCCACACGGGACCATGAGACTACATTGGTACCTCGGGTTAAGAACTTAATTCATTCTGGTGGTCTGTTCTTAACCTGAAATGGTTCTTAACCTGAGGTACCACTTTAGCTAATGGGGCCTCCCGCTGCCATTGCCACTGCGCCGCCAGCGCGCAATTTCTGTTCTCATCCTGAAGCAAAGTTCTTAACCCGAGGTACTATTTCTGGGTTAGCGGAGTCTGTAACCTGAAGTGTCTGTAACCTGAAGCGTCTGTAACCCGAGGTACCAGTGTAATGGCATTTTTTGGGTTGGAAGCCGAAATGCAGCAGAACGGAAACAGTGCTGCATGCAGTGAACACAGCCTGGAAAGGAAATAAACGCCTCCTCACATCCCTAGTTGCCCAAAGAGCCAGCAAACAAACACAGGAGTTCCGCTAAAGGGTGGCAGTCGTGAGGGCAGGTGTTGCCAGTGCCTAAAGTATTATAATGAAGGTTCCTGGCAGATATCTCTTGGGAGGGACAGCACCACTTGGAGAAGAACTACAGAAAACATATTCAATCTGGTTGTCACCCACCCAGCAAGCAATGGGAACTCAGAGATGGGTGATAGGAACACAGCAAGCTGCCTTATATGAGTCAGGCCACTGCTCCATCTAGCTCAGCATTGTTCTCACCTGGAGTAGCCAACGTGGTGCCCTCCAGCTGTTCTAGGCCTTCAACTCCCATTAGCCCAAGCCAGCATAGTCAATGGCCAAGAGTGATGGGTGGTGAGATCCAACAACATCTGAAGGGCACCATATTGGCTGTCCCTTGTCTACACTGACCAGCAGCAGCTGGGGACACAGGAGTCTTTTCCAACCCTCTCTGGGGATGTCAGAGATGGAATTCAGGACCTTCTGCATGTAATGTATGTGTTCTGTTGCTGAGCACATCACCCTCACAGCTTGGACGATGACCTCAACTGCTGGGCAGAATCGCATGGGGTTATCTATAATAAGTACTGATGCAAAATGTGCAGTTCCATTTTCAAAGCCTGCTTTCACAACATGTCCCAGCTTGCTGGGAAACATTCTTGGGAATCTGCATCCTGACCTTGAAGCTTCCAGGCTGTTATGGCTGAAGCACACCCAGGTCTGTGAAGGCTTCTGATAAGACCATTTCTGTTGCCCAGCCTCCATTCCTGAACAAAATTCCTGAGTCACTTGTTTAGTAGAAGGCTCCTGGGAAGCTCTGTTTTAATCAAGACTCCCCAAGTCCTTGATGTATCTTGAGTACATCTTGCTAACTACTTGCACTTCTGGGAATTCCATCCATCGAAATATCTAACCAAAAGGTCAGGTCACAAGACTTTGCTGGTTATGTGGTAAAACAACGATGAGAGCTTACTTCTCCTTTTTTCTTTCTCTGGTGATTGGTCTTGTTAGGATGTTCTGGTGGGTCACAAGCACGGACCTCCTCTGCCCTGTAACCACCATTATAAATTGGCCATATGGGACTCAGATATGGAAGCTGCACAGAATCCTGTTCAGGGTTCCAGCAGGCAGTCAGGTCCTATTCCAAGATACTCTGCATGCATGCCACATACTCAAAGCACATGGCTTCCCCCACATAATCCTGGGAACTGTTGTTTGTTAAGGGTGCCAGAAATTATAGCTCTTTGAGGTGCTAACTACAGTTCCCAAGATACTTTGGGGGGGAAGTCATATGCTTTAAAGGTATGGTGTGTACCCAGTCAAGTGTTTGTTCCAATGCTCCATACCCGATTTCTATTGCACCCCTCCAACATTTCATGTCCACTGGGCATGCCCTGTACTCATTGAGCTGTTTCTGGTCTAGCGCAGTTGTGCTTCTAAAGATTTTTTTGGACTTCTGCAAACCCTGAAGTTCCCCCTAAGCCTACCAATGCCACCTTTTTGATTATGTATAGTACTTTTATCTGCATGAAGATCCACACACTCTCCTGAACTTTGATGTAGAAGGAATCAGGGCTTTTTTCCTGCCGTAACTTGCTGTAACTCTGTTCCAGCACCTCTCAGGTGGGCATCATTGTCGTTATAAGAGAACAAGGGAGGCGTTCATAGTGAGGTCTGGCACCTGTTTTTCTAGCAAAATAGCACTGATAGGAATTATTTACAGTGGTACCTCGGGTTACATACGCTTCAGGTTACATACGCTTCAGGTTACAGACTCCACTAACCCAGAAATAGTACCTCGGGTTAAGAACTTTGCTTCAGGATGGGAACAGAAATCGTGCTCCGGTGGCGCAGTGGCAGCAGGAGGCCCCATTAGCAAAAGAGGTGCTTCAGGTTAAGAACAGACCTCTGGAACGAATTAAGTACTTAACCCGAGGTACCACTGTATTTAATACATTTGTTAGTCGCTTTATCTTGCCCAGAGCAACACAAAGCAACTTGCAACCAACCACAAATAAGAATAAGCATGGCATATTCATATTATTATTATTATTATTATTATTATTATTATTATTATTTCAAATTATATCCTGCCTTTTCCCCCAAAGGAGCTCAGGGCAGCAAACGTATTAGTACTTAAAAACATTTCAAAACCAGTTAAGGACATTCTAAAAACAGTTAGAAACCGTACTTTATTTTGTGAACTGCCCTGAGACCTCCAGGTATAGGGCAGTATATAAATTCAATAAATGATAATGATAATAGTGGTAGTAGTAATAATAATAATAATAATAATAATAATATATTTCCACCCATGATTTTAAAGTTGCCAGGAACAGTATCATTCAGCCATCAAATGCCCAGGTAAACAGATATTTTTTTTAAAAATTATTTATACATTTATTTAATTTTCAGATTTTGAAATTTACAATCATCAAGCAACCAAAACAAAAAGAGAATTCCATAAATTCCCATCAACTTCCCTCCTCCCCTTTGTGGGTCCTTACGTTAACAGGAATGTTTTTAAACACCTCCTCAAAGTCGATAATGAGGACAATATGGCATAATTACCAGGCAAAGCGTTCCACAGGTGGGGAATCTGCCACCAAAAAGCCCCTGTCATGGGTCAACACAACCAGGTGGTCTCCAGGGTCACCATCACCAACAGGGCCTTGCCTTGGGTCCATCTGTCAATCCGATTTTACAAATGCCTAATGAAATATGCTTGGCATTGCCATAAATCTCAAAGGCTTAGTTAGACAGCGCCAATAAGGCCCTGCCAGATCATTTCGGAGCATTTGTGATCACCACCGCAGTCATTATGAGAAATCTTACATTCATTGCATGCTCCTCTGCTCATTCACAGCAACCCGCAAAGAGTCTTTCTGAACGACGACAGTTCTCAGACGTCCAATTTCTGCAATGAACACGAATAAAAGCAAAAACGACAGATCCCGTATATTTCTTCAAAGCAGATCTCAGAGAGCAAACGCACATCTTTTCTTGACATCAAGCTGAGCTGGGCACTTGTAGAAGGAGCTGAAACCGGTGTGCAGGTGTCAAGAGCGGTAGCTGAAACGAGATAAGGAGCCTGAGGAGATGTGGGAATCCCCACCATCTCAGGAGAATCAAAGGCACTCAATGCCTTTGTTACAAAGGGAGGAAATGAATCAAACCAGAATCGGTCTTTGAGTCATTTTCCAGTGATAAGAAAGCTTTTAATCACGGGCGCTGTAGCAAAGTAATAAGTGCTGGAAGCCTGCCAAGCCAGCCTATCAGCAGAAGCTGTATCTCAGAGCACGATTCAACTCCTCCATCACCCTGTCCTTGACCCACTTGAGATCTCTGTACCAGGCTGTGGCTTCATGTGTAATTTGGTTCTTTTCGTGTTGCTCTGCACTAGCACTGCCGCCTTCAGAAGAAGAAGGGGGAAACCTGGCCAGGTTCCAAAGAATGCAGTTAATGGTAGCATGCCGGTCAGAAAATTCAACAGATGAAGCTTCCCCAGCGTACTTTATCTCCATGCCTTACCAGAAGAAAGCTGGCAACTGTACCAAGCACATGGGTGGGGGTGTAGACACAAACATACACACACAACCAGGTAGTGCCAGGTGCTGCCCAGGTATTTTTAGGGGGGGAAATGTGAGTGTGTGTGTGTATGTATATATATATATATATATATATATATATATATATATATATATAAAATAATTTGTGAGTTTGGACCTGTCAAGCCAAAAGTCGTGTGAAGTCAAGCCAAAGTCACATTTTGGTCCGCCATCTTGATTCAAAATGGCTCCCTAGAATACATGGGGCACAAAGCACATTTATAGTTACACAAAATACAAACCAACAAGTGCTCATAACCCCATGTCAAATATTATACCATAGCAACAACCTGTAACTCACTGTATCTATATCTATCTATCATTTCATAAGATGTATACACTGCTTGATTGTAGAAAACCTCAATACCTCAATTACTATCATTCATATAAATGACAAGCACAGCACAAAAATAACATAAATAACTAAATACCTTTTTAATAATGGCACGTAAATATTTCAACTCGCATTAATCTCCTCAGCGGCACAGATGCTGCAAATAAATTCCTTCCGCACCACAATATTTTAATGCCATCAATAACACGGGCATCTTGAATTTAATTGGGGTCAACTAATACATAAATAGCAACATGCTATTATTAATTTATTTGATAGGGTGTTAGTCATTTGTTCTGTTTTTTATTTATTTACAATCTTACAAAGTTTCATTTATTTCACAGCACACCACAACAAAGTTTTTAATAAGCTGGCGGTTTATAAATAAATAAGACGACGGTGATTATTAACAACAAGAACAACAACAACAATTCAGTTTATATCTCCATTCCTATCACTGCCTTCACTTCAAGGCAATTGTCCAGAATACCAGGGCTACACAAAGTGCCAAGCAATTGCCAGACACGACTTTCTGCTGCCTCCACCATCACATTTTGGGCTCTGGCACTGCCCAGTGGGAGGTAAAGAGAACATTGTGGTCAATTCCCCAAAACTCAAGAAAGGGCGTCCAAGACCAGAGGTTTCTCTGTGGAACCAACATCAAAAGTTAAGAGCTGCTGATTCAGGAGAACAGGAAGGCTAGAAGAACAAGGAATGAGAGCAGGATTGGGACATCACAGTGGCAAACGCTCCCAGCATGTGAAATATTTGGCTTAGTTTTAGTTGGCTTTCCTTTCAGCGTCAATTTGGAATGCGGTGTGCCAACGAGCAACATCTAGGGCAAATTATTATTATGACTATTAAGCATTTCTCACATACTGTATTGGCCTGAATATAAGCCTCACTTTCCCCCCAAATTCCGACTGTGAAAAGTTAAAGTGCGGCTTATATTCGCGACCTTACAGTATGCAGCCAGGAGCTCAGCAAAGCAGCACCCGCCATACGCGTAGTCTGCCGTTCTGTGGGAACCAGGGCTGTCTTAAGCCAGGAAGGGAGAGAGCAAGGAAGGGGAAAGGCCGTGGGCAACACAGCGCGGCTCCCCCCCCCCCCCAGGAGCAGCGAGGAATGGAGCGGTTTAAATTGGGGGGGGGTTCATTTTTTTTCTTTGCCCCCCTCCAATTTTAAAGGTGCGGCTTATATTCGGGTGCAGCTTGAAATTGAGTAAATAACTTATGGTGCTTCAAGTTAGGAACATAGGGAACCATTGCTCAATATTGTCTGCAATGACTCTCTCGAGGGGTTCGGACAGGTAGGCACACCATGAACGTATAGACTACAGGCACTGTGCGGCTCATAATTTGTGGGCTATGAGATCTTTCTGGGACCTGCTGGCAGTCATAGCTTGAGCTCGGTTATTTATTTATTTATTTAAAAGCATTGCCAAACCGCTTCATATTTTTTAAAAAATAAAAAAAATATTTAAGAGGCATCCAAGAACACAACATGGAAAAAACAACACAACTGTTTCCTAACAACAGAGATACAAACGTCACCCCAACGGTCTTTCAAAATCAGATTAAAAACAAAAAGTTCCGTGAAAACAGGGCCCAATCTTATGAGTCAGGGGAAAGCCTGGGCAAAGAAGTTATGTCTTTGCAAGACTTCTGAAGCAACTGGTGAATGGTGCTTTGTGTATCAAGCGTGGGAAATCCTTTCTATCTGAAGGACCATGTTTCCAGGTGGCATACATACCCTTCAACATTTCTCCAATGAAAATAGGGACGTCTCATTCGATAATGATAATTTTACTATTTATACCCCACACAGCATACTGGGCTGCCCCAGCAACTCTGGACGGCTTCCAACATATATAAAAACATTAAACATGGGGGGGGGGGGAGAGAGAACCCTTCCCTATACAGGATTGCCTTCAGACAGCTTCCGAAAACTCCATAACCTCCAACATTTCTCCAATGAAAATAGGAAATAGACATCCTAAGGAAAAGCAGGACATTCTAGGATCAAATCAGAAACCAGGATGGCTTCTCTAAATCAGGGACGTCCCTGGAAAATAGGGAGACTTGGAGGGTTTGTGGTGGGCAACGCTCTGGGTTGCAGGGGGAGGGGGCACACTGGTAGCTATGGTAGGGGTGGCAAAAGTGTCCATGGACAGACAGACACACCTCCATCCTCAATCGAAACAAACAAGAGATGTTATCAGAGTTCAAGGCACATTCCAGCCAGGCAAGACCACCAGAGGAGGGTGCCGAGAACAGGTGTTTGCCTGGACAGAGGAACAAGGGCCACATAGAGCCCAGACACTGAGATCCAGCTCCAAGGGCCTTCTGGTGGCTCCCTCACTGCGAGAAGTGAAGTTACAGGGGACCTGGCAGAGGGCCTTCTCAGTAGTGGCACCAGCCCTGTGGATCGCCTTCCTGTCAGATGTCAATTATACGACTTCATGTAAATTTCTGAAGGTAGCCCTGTTTTAATGTTCAGTGTTTCATTATGTTTCTGTATATTCTGGAAGCTGCCCAGAGTGGCTGGGGCAACCCGCTCAGATGGGTGGGGTACAAATAATAAAACCGTCATTATTATTATTATTATTATTATTATTACCTGGAGGGCCTCATTTGGTCCCCAGTCCCCACCCGTGATTTACATACTGGGTTGGGCAGCGTAGCAATCCACAGCTCTAAAGCAAACAGCTTTCATCCATTCTGTGGACCTTGTTTGTTTTCCTTTACAATGCCTGCAGGCACTTGGCTGCAAAGTGTGCTAATCCATAAATCAGTTTGGGTGAGCAGCCTTTGTCCTCCCTCTTTTCTGGCAGGTGGCAAACAAGGCAAATGTCGAAAGGTTTCGACACTCGCTGAGACTGACGCCTGAAGCCCGGGCTTTCACGTTCCTTTATAGTCAAGGCGGGCCCAGTGAAAATATTTTAAAACTGCTGGCGGACATAGACGGAGAGCCCTGTCGACGACGCAGGCAGGAAGTCACGTGGCGACTCCGAGGCAAGCGTCAATCTCTCCACCGCAGCCCTCCGTCTGCAGGATGGAGATAACTGATCCCAATCTACCTTGCAGGGTTCCTCTGAGGTTTACAAGATAATGTATGCGAAATTCTGAGAATACTCGAAAGCATCTCAGTGGGGGATGGTCGTAGCTCCACGGTAGAGCATCTGCTTCATGCGCCAACAGCCCCAGTTACAATCCCTGGCATCTTCATATAGGACTGGGAGAGACTCCTTATCCATGGGGAGCCTCTGCCAGTCAGTGTAGGCAATACTGACCAATGGTCCATTTCAAACCTGCAAACCTTCTCACTTGGGACATCAATGGGGCGGAACTGACATGCCATCTCTGGAGGAGGAAAAAGAAGAAGAAGAAGAGTTTGGATTTGATATCCCACTTTATCACTACCCGAAGGAGTCTCAAAGCGGCTCATAATCTCCTTTCCCTTCCTCCCCCACAACAAACACTCTGTGAGGTGAGTGGGGCTGAGAGACTTCTGAGACGTGGGACTGGCCCAAGGTCACCCAGCAGCTGCAAGTGGAGGAGCAAAGATGTGAACCCGGTTCCCCAGATTACGAGTCTACCGCTCTTAACCACTACACCACACTGGCTCTCTTAAACTTAAACTTAAACACATGTTGCAGAGTTCCCCACAAAATAGACCAGAGGCCATTGTACTTCATCAAGCAGAGCTTTACTGCTACTTGAAGGCAAATGAGCATAATGGTCACAAATCCAATACATTCAGGATTGGCACTGTCCATAAGAAATCCAGTTGCAGCACTTACAATAAAACTTACAATGCTTATAATAAGACTTAAACTTAACACTATAGCATACAGAACACCAGATCAAAGAGACAGAAAGAGAAAGTAAAAGACCCAGGCCCCTCCTGGCTTCTTATTATATTCAGCATGACCTTGGCAGAAAGATAACAGAATTGATTTAAACCAGCTGCACTCAGCTTCTCAGAAGGAGTAACCAAAACAAGAAACGTCTGCCTGTTTCTTTCACATAGGAAACTTTCCAAATGTTCCAAAATACTCTTGAACCAAGCAGAAGGGGAAAGATCTCTACATATCAGATCAATACTTTCTGTACTAAGAAATGCAAGCTGACAGGAAGCAAAGGGGAGAAGGAGCATCTCTCCTCCGCTGGGCTCTGGCGTGTGAGGGGAGGTACGGACAGCCTCTGTAGGGAGATGACCCTTGCAGCACCTGCCATGCCCGTGGCTCCTGCAGCAGGTGGGCCAGAGCTGCAGTCACTGGGCACTGGGCTTCAGCAACGGCAGCCTCTCATCTTCCGCCCATTCTCCAGCAATTGCTACGAGCCGCAAAAGGGCAGCAGTGGCCATGGAGAGGCTCAACACGTTCATCCTACTCCCAGAGCTCAACAGCTGTTCTGGAGGGGGAAAGCGTGACATTCCCAGATCCAAAGCTGGGAATGGTTTTGTGAATCCAGGACGTCCCGGTAAAATCTAGGCAGTTGTGGGAGTCTGCTGTTTTAGTATGGGTCAGACTCTTGCTTTCTCTCATGCTTTGGGAAGCTGGGGGAATGCAGGGCTCTTCCTTCGGGGCAGCCTCACGACCCAAACGCTGTGGGGCTGTGCTCAGATTAATCCCAAATAATCCCAAAGCAGGTGAGTAGGTTGCAGAGTGCTTCTCTTTCAACACTTGCTGTTGTTGTTCTTCTGCATTCCAGAAGAGGATGCTGCCTCTGTTGAGCGCTGGAAGGAAAGGTAATAAAGGTAAAGGTACCCCTGCCCGTACGGGCCAGTCGTGTCCAACTCTAGGGTTGTGCGCCCATCTTACTTAAGAGGCCGGGGGCCAGCGCTGTCCGGAGACAATTCCGGGTCACGTGGCAAGCGTGATGAAGCTGCTCTGGTGAGCCAGCACCAACGCAGCACACGGAAACTCCTTTTACCTTCCCGCTAGGTAAGCGGTACCTATTTATCTACTTGCACCTAGGAGTGCTTTCGAACTGCTAGGTGGGCAGGAGCTGGGACCGAAAGACGGGAGCTCACCCCGCCGTGGGGATTCGAACTGCCGACCATGCGATCGGCAAGTCCTAGGCACTGAGGTTTTACCCACAGCGCCACCCGCGTCCCTGCGGGAAGGAAAGGTGCCCTTGTATAAATACGGGACCCAGAGGGGCAGCTGGAGGCTTTGACCCTCTTGGTCTCCGTTATCTCAGCAAGGTTCAGGTTGCAACCTGTGTGGCAGACAGGCTGCAGCTTGAAGAGCATTTCCTCCAGCCAGCCAAGCCGCAGCAAGAAAAAACCACACACTTCCTGGATCTGTTTCACTCTTACACTGCTGCCTCCTTGTCTCCTGCTGCAACCACTGTTGTGTCCAGCCTGGCTCAGAGTCTGGGAAGTGATCAGCCATGATCTGCAGGAAGGCTTTTGTGTAAAGGACCCCCTGACCGTTAGGTCCAGTCATGGACGACTCTGTGGTTGAAGTGCTCATCTCACTTTTATGTAGTCAGTCACTAATCCCCATCAATTTAAACTGAATTCATGTTCTTCCCCCCTGCCACCCCCAGATTATGTGAGTACAGAGGGAACATAGGAATTCAAATCTGATCAGTTTGGCTCAGTGCTGTCTACACTAACTGGCAATGGCTCTCTAGGTTTTTGCTGCAGAAATGTGGAGAGATGAATTTAAGGGCTGGGGGAAAGTGAGTAATAGAGAGAACAGAAATGGACAAACCCTTCTATTCCTATATGCAATTAGAAAAACAAGTGAAACCATTCAGACAAAAGCAGCAGAGTATAGATTCAACAAAAGAGACATGGTGGGTCCCGTAAACTGCCCAAGGTCAGGGAACAGAGGTACTCCTTCAGCACACAACAGAAGCTGCACAATAAAAGTGTTAGCTGCATCTCTGTAAGGAGGGAATCCCAAAATTTAGTGCCTGCTACAAAGAAAGTCTTCTCCCTTTATATACCTTTCCTTATACAAATGATTCAGTCCCCAATTAATTACCCCGATTAGGCCTTAACAATAGAGCAATCCTTCTTCTGTATAGCTTTGACTCCTTTCCAACTGGTTTTGACGCTCTTCCAGCAAGTCTTGGTGCCTTTCCAACAGAAGCCACCCCTCTGAGGGATGGCGCCATATTGTTTTGGACAAGCACAGATGGGCCTGGAATGCAGGCAGGACGCATAGTGACCTTATCAGGAGCAAAACTTGCAATCACTTACCCAAACTTCCTAAATTAACCACTGGTTGGTAAAGCAGATCACTTCCTTTCAAGCTTTAAACTTCCTGCTTCTTCTCCAAGATAGTTAGTTCAAGCTAGTTACAGCATGAGCTAGGAAGAAGAAGAAGAGTTTGGATTTGATCACTACCCGAAGGAGTCTCAAAGCAGCTAACATTCTCCTTTCCCTTCCTCCCCCACAACAAACACTCTGTGAGGTGAGTGAGGCTGAGAGACTTCAAAGTGTGACTAGCCCAAGGTCACCCAGCAGCTGCATGTGGAGGAGCGGAGACGCGAACCCGGTTCCCCAGATTACGAGACTACCGTCCTAACCGCTACACCACACCGGCATGCAGGGTTGGCTGATGTCCAGTTTTCAGCATCGTGATACATCACCAGCTAAACATTGCAATACACTGATATATCACAATGTCTGAAACAAGGATGGAGCTCTGTAGAAGCATTGGCTGGCTTCACGGTTTTTCCCATATTGTGATTTTTGACACACACACATCATGATTCGCAATATATTGCCAGGTCAAAATGAGGAGTTGGGTTACAGCCAGCTATGTTACAGCTTCCGGGTCATGTGGCGAGCATGACTAAGCCGCTTCTGGCGAACCAGAGCAGCGCACGGAAACACCTTCCCACCGGAGCGGTACCTATTTATCCACTTGCACTTTGATGTGCTTTCGAACTGCTAGGTGGGCAGGAACAGGGACCGAGCAATGGGAGCTCACCCCGTTGCAGGGATTCGAACTGCCGACCTTCTGATCAGCAAGCCCTAGGCTCTGTGGTTTAGACCACAGCGCCACCCGCGTCCCGTACTCAGAGTAGACCCACTGAAATTATGAGAGATTAATCATGTTGATTAATACCCAAGTCTGCCTCTGACATGCCAGCTCCTATAGAGTTGCCATTTTCACCCATGCTGCTCCCTTACTCAGCAGGGATTTATCAGTTCAAGTTTCAACAACAAGCCAAAAACCAAGAACAAATCATCTTTGGCTAACTTCTCCTTTATTATCTTTTGAAAGAGCCACGTATGTTGAGGAGGAAGCTGCTCTAGCCTTCCGCACATGGCTCCCCCACCCGTCATTCCATCATGCCTAAAAATGCCTTTGGAGTATTGCTGGATTGCAACAGCCTTAACATCTGCTTTTCTGAAGCCAACCCATTTCACAAACTTGCTCACTAAAGACCAGCTGGTAGCAAGTCGCTGCTGGCAGCCTCTTGTGCAACTGGCTGGACAGAAATCTGTTCTAGGCATCTTGACCTCAGTAACACTTTGGCATGCAATGTTTGGGGTCCTGTTCAAAGCAGACATGTTTTGCCCAAAGTTCTGCTTGGCAAGAAGGGCCACAGCAGTGACTGGGGAAGTGGATAAGAATCTGAACTAGCTGAGTTCAGAATGACAGGGAATCTGAAATGACTTGATTCAGAACTGTCTCGTTCGTGCCAAGCTTTTTCGGAGAAATCTCAGGGAAAGTGCAGGGTTTTGCTGAGAGCTTTGCACCCTTCCAATTCTGCCCTGCCAGCCCTCCCTCCATTGCTTTCCATCTACCTGGGACCCCAAATTTCCCCTTGATCCCATCCCCTCCTTGCCTCTGAAAACTGTACCCCCACAGGGATGGGAGAATCTCATAGAATTGTAGAGTTGGAAGGGACCCTGAGGATCATCTAGTGCAGGGATGTCCAACAGGTCAATTGTGATCTACTGGTCGATCTCAGGTTCCTGGTTGGTTCCACCCCCCAAAAAAAAAGCTCAACAACTTTGGCTCTTCCTCCCCCAAAGAAGC